CATGTGTGTGTATGCATGTGTGCACATGCATGTGTGTGTATGCATGTGTGCACATGCATGTGTGTGTATGCATGTGTGCACATGCATGTGTGTGTCAACATGCAAAGAAGTATCGCCTGCAGGCATCTGCGCATGTGCGCACGCATGCCCCCGTGCATGATCCCATGGCTCCGGTTCCCTTAACACCTGCCTCTGTCTCTCGCCTGGGCTGCTTGGCCCCACCAGATTGCCAAGCATGTTGTCGTCACGCACGAGGTGCTTTTCCTCCTGGTCCATGATGTGGTCTTCCAATTTTTGGCCAGTCCCGTGCCGGTCAATCCGGCGTCGGTCATCCCGGCGGCCCAGTGTCGGGGCCTTTGCCTGGAGAACAATATCCTGTTCGGGCTCCATGCCGATGGCCACCGGATGCCGTTGGCTTTCATCGACGGTCAGCAGGTCATTTACCCGAGTGTGCGTTCCGGAAGTCCCCCCCCCTCCCACCCTCTCTCTCCCCCCCTCGATCTCCCTCTCTCCAAGTCACTTGGCAGCCGCTCAGCCACTTGTTGCTTCTGCATCTGTGTCCTCACCCCCATCGTAGCTGTACCAGCGCAACATGCACTTCTACGACCAGTGTGCCGTGGCTCCCCGGCCGGATGGCAGCCTGGTCCTGTGTCATGAGAATGCCCTCTTCCTGCTGACCTTCTCCCAGCCGGCGGCAGGTGCCGCCGGCTCCACGGGCGTGCCCGTGGTGGACATTCGCCTGCTCTTCAGCCGGGCCTCAGTTCGGCTGGTCCTCTTCCCGTACTTCTTCCAGTCAGGCTTGATGGTGGTCACCGATGACACTGGAGCCGTGTTGGCCTGTGGCCGGGACGATCTTACCTGCTTCTTCGAGTCCGATGTCAGTGTCGCCCCGTTTATGGCCCCATTTCGCCCCAAGCAGCCCCGGCCATGGTACTGACAAGCGGCCACACCATCCCCCTCCCCATCGCCATGCCACCCATCTGGCAGATGTCGTCTCCGACGCCCGACCTGGCGGAAGTCCATGCCAAGCATATGCGCCTCTTCTCGCGGCTCTTCGCATTCCGCAGGAAGCTCCTCCTGGTTGGCCGGGAGGAGCTGGTGCTTTTCTCCTTTGCCCGGGACCTCGGGCTCCGTGGGCCGCTGGACACCCCGTCGGTCGTCAAGTTTCCGGTCAAAGTCGGCGAGGATGACCGACTGGAGCCCTCCCTCCCGGACGGGGTCGTGTTTTTGGTGTCGGAGACCCAGCAAATCGCCTATTGCCTGGATCTGCGCACGGAACTCTCCAAGCACTCCCTTCTGAGGCAGGTTCGTCGCGGTTCCCCTGGCGCTTCCCCGGCCCTTTCTCTCGCCCCCCCCCCCCCCACGCCGGCATCCTCTTCCGGGGCATCCCCTGCAAGGGGGGGAGGGGGGGCGGTATGCCCGCCCGGGCCCTCTGACTGAGGCCAGCCACGCTGCCTGCTCGGTCAGAGGGCATGTGCATGCGTGGGGCGAGAGGCCGCCAGGGCGGGCAACTACCCCGCCATCCCCCCGGGGGTGTCGCGGTCGCGCTTGTGCCACAGCGACACCCGGCAGCCTGCCTGTCCAATCCCACCCGCCTGCCGCCATGGCCACTGACACACCCACCCATGTGGTCGCCCGAGCAGAGCGACTTCCCCTCCCGCATGACCATCTCGCCCTTCTGGTCCGTGCGCCATGAGAATGCCATCTACTTTCGGCGATCGATCCACAACCAGCATGTGGTGGCGGCGTTCCTGAGCCCCGAGAGCCCCGCGAATCCGGCCCGCGCGCTCTTCACCTCGGCCACGGAGTTTGTCTTCACCCAGCCGGTCTCCAAAGACACCCAGCCCTTCACCCTCCAGTCCGCCGATGGCACGGTCACCAAGTGGACGGACATTTCACATAGCGCGCTCTTTCAGCGGGTGGCCGTAAGTTCCCCATCCCGCTCGGCCCTGCCGTTCGCCCCTTCCTGCCCCTCTGCCTCCCTTTGTCTCGGCCTTCCGGCCGCGTCTCCCCTCCCCCCCTGCCGAAAGATGGCCAGGTCGCACTGACATCTCCCCCTTCCACCCTCGCGGGCCAGATCATCCCCTCCGACAAGATCTTCGACCGGCGCACCAATGCCATCCTCGACGCCACGTGGTTTTCCATCCATGACTCGGTCCTGCTGGGGTACAAGTTTGACCCCGGAGCCACCACCAGCTTCCCGCGACTGGCGCGATTGGTGAACCTCGGCGCGCGGAACCTTCAGTTTGAGTTTGACCCGGCGCCCCATCGCCCGGGCGACCTGCTGATGAAGATGCTTTGCCACCAGCTGAAAATCACCTTCTCCCTGACCGAATCCGACACCAACGACTGTGGCTTCATCTGTGCCCAGGTGCGCTTTCCATTGCCGGAGCCCCCTCTGCCGCGGCCGCTCGCGCATGCGCGAGCCTCAAAGTAACACGCCGCCTTGCCTCGGGCCCTCTTGCCCGCCTTTTCGCCGGTTGCATGCCCCCGCCAGACCCCTGTCAGCCTGGACGAGGCCCCCGCGTCGACCCCCCGGCTGAGCAGCTTCCACCAGGGGTGCAGCTCGAGTGGCACCTTCTGCACTCTCCGGGACCAGTTTTACTCCATCCGCAGTGGGAGCCTCAGCTGCCGCGAGCTCATGATTTCCAAGAAGGGGAATCTGATCATGGGCCGCGAGGCGCCGGAGCGTCGCCTCCCCGCCGGGGCGACCCGCATCTTCAGCTTCTCCCAGCGCGTGGCCGTCGTCTCCAATGAACGAGTCACCTTCCTGCCGTTGGTCGGCGACAAGGAGTCCTCCATCACGCTGGTATGTGCTCCGCCGTCTGCGCACGCCTGGTCTCCCTTCGTGCATGCCATGAGGGGCCCCTTGACCACTGACAGGGCCCTGCTGCCGCCTTGCTGCCCCCTTGCTGCTTCCGCCGCCGCCGCCGCCGCCGCTGCTGCTGTTGTTGCTGCTGCTGCTTCTTCTCCTTGCCCGGACTCAGGATGAGCAAATTCACTCGGTCTTTGGGCTTCGCGGCCAGCTGGACAACATGGCCATCGTCACTTCCGGGGGGATACACTTTTTCCGCCACCAGTGCGACCTCCCTGCCTGCTTCTTGCTTCTTGCTTGCCTTCCTCCGTGGCTCGGCCCCCCTCCGAGCGCCTCTCACCATGTCTCCTGCTCACCTCTCTCCAACCCGACGACCGCGATTACCCCCCCCCCCCCGCGTGCGTGCGCGCGCGCAGGAACAAGGAGAACTACGTCCCCCTTGGCGGCCGGCCGTGGCGCCTTTGTGGCCAAACCAACGACGGGAACATTGTCATTCACTTCGCCGATGGCTCCTTCGATATCTTTTCATTCGCCGGGGGCGTCCAGCGCGTGCACATCCCCCACACGGCGAGGGACAAGTGTACGACCTGGTCCCTGTCCATGCCTTCCTCCCCGCCTCCGCCTCTTTTGCCCTGCCCTTGGCGCGCCCCAGGAGGGGCGGCGGTCCTCCTCGCTTCGCTATGTGGCTTACTCCTCCCCCCCCCC